TTCTTCTAGGTGGTATAGCACTGGTCTGTGCGTTGCAGAGGTAACTCGTGTTGCTGTGATGCTGAAGACTGTGGCAGTGATGTGCCAATCGTGGTAGCGGGTACCCATGGTGCACAGTGTTGGCTGGAGCTTCCCGACTAAATCAAGCCTGGAAGCAGGAGCGGCATCCACTTCCGAAATGACTTGCTTCCGGAAACTCTATGTACGAACAGTGCTCAGGCTGTTCATTCACAGGGTCGCTATGAGTCAACTACGACTCGATGGCACCAAACAACAACAACATGAATCTGAGAGTGGGACAATGAATACGGATGAAAGGAAGGATGCCTTTGAGCTGTGGGTAGGAGGCAAGTACTGCCTAAAGAACAGATACCTGTCTTGGAGAAAGTGCACCCAGAGTGCTCCTTAGAGGCAAAACCTTGGAAAGGGCATCATGCTTGGAGGGTCAAAGAGAGAAAGACCGCCAATGAAGTAGAGTGACACAGTGACTGCTGCGATGAGCTCAAGCGTGAGGCTGGCTAGGATGGCACAGGACAGGGCTGCACCTAAGGACGTCTAAGGGATGGGGGTGGGGGTAATCAGGGAAGCTGGAGGTTTCTGTAAATCGACTCCACATTGGCAATAGGGCTTTTTCCTGATCAGCTCTCCCCAAAGCAAACAGTTGCTTGTGGGGCTCACGCACGGCTGCATGCGCTACTCTCACACAATCCCGGGTGCCCGCCCATCTAGGGCACTTTAACGGCCCGCATGGCATCTTCCAGGGTGCAGGGGGGGGGACTGGGCCGTGTACACTAAGGGTCAAGCGTCCAGCCACTGGGAGGTCGGGCCGGCCAACGTCTCCACCAGCATCCAAGGCCCGGAGCCGCGTCCCGCGGGGAACGCACCGCCTCCCGGGGCGGGGCCTGCGCGGCGCCGGAAGTGACGTATAAAACACGCGCCGGGTCCCGCCCCCTCGGAGTCTAGCTTCTGTCGAGCTGTGGGCGGCTGGTGCTGCGCAGCGGGAGACGGCGCGATGGGCAAGAAGAGCAAGAAGGAGAAGAAGGGCCGTGGGGCCGAGAAGACGGCGGCCAAGATGGAGAAGAAGGTGTCCAAGCGCGCGCGCAAGGAGGAGGTGGGTAACCGCGCGGCGCCCCCAGGGCGGGAGACCCCCGCCCGCCGCGATCGAGCCGGCGCCGAGGCCCCGCGGCCCGGCCGCCGTGAGGATGACAGCTGGCCATCTTGAATGCTCAGCTCTGGGCGCCACCAGGCGTGTCCCCGCGTTGTCGCGGCGGGCGCTGCGCTCCCCCTAGACGGAGGCAGGGCGATGGGCGCGCCGGGGGGCTGGAAGGGGCGCCGGGCGGCACTGCGCACATGTGTGATCGGGGGTGTAACAGACCCACATCCGCTGTCGGCCAGGCTGTGCCCACTCCCAGCGGCCCTGCGGGGCAGACGAGCTGCCTCGGGGGTGACCACGTTGGCATCTCTGTGGAAGCCGACTGGTGGGTTCGAACGACTGATCTTCAGATGTTAGGTGCCATCCAGTCGAGTAGGACTCATAGCGGCCCCGTGAACAAAAGATCTGAACCCCGCTCTATCCTGCGCCATCCTCACACTTCCTGACACACAGGCCCCCATTGCGGCAGTCACCCGTGTGTGTCAGCCCACCTGGTTTAGCTGACCCTCCACCCTTCCCAGCGTCGTGACCCTCTCCAAGGAATAGCCCCTCCTAGCAGAATGCCTCATCATTTCCACCGCCAAAGAGCACCCTGGCTGCACCCTCTCCACGACAGTGTTTGTTCTTCTGGCTGCCCGTGGGATACTCAGAGCTTCTGTCCAACACCACAGCTCAGAGGCATCAGTTATTCTGACATCCTTATTCATTGTCCGGGTCTCAGATGCATAGCAAGTGACAGGAAAGACTATGGTGTGAATCAGACACACCTTAGTCCTCACAGTGATGGCATTACTCCTTAGTAATTTGGAGATTTTCCCAGAGCATTATTCTCTGACTGCTGATGGCACGGGTGTTAGGTGTGGATCCAGCCTTCTGTCACCAGCCTTCATTTTCCTGAGCGTCACTTCTCACATCTGTAGAGAGAAGTCATTCCCACAGCCTCTGGGGAAGGATTGGGAAGACCCCTGGGGCTATTGGAGGGTGTTCCCTAGAAGATGCCACCACTGCCATGTGTTTCCTCTTAAGACCTGATGTGACATGACTTGAGTTCGCTGTCTGGGACCTCACAGACCTGCATCCACATGTCAGCTGAGGCCCAGGACCTTCTGACTGTTCTTTGAGGGCCACGTCCATTTACTTGTAGTCTTGAGGTTCCTGGGTTTTTGAGGCCCTCGCAGTCCTAGCCCCTAGGCCCCTGCTTCACAGCCAGCAGGGAAGAGCTTCCTGCAGCTCACGGCCCTCTTGCTCTCGGGACCGCTTTGTCTGGAAGACCCTTGTGTAGGCCAGGCCCAAGGAGGGTCCACCATGTGGTTGATATTCCTGTGAGAACAATACCTCTCTGTAGTCACGGTCCTGGGGGCCATCCTGCCTCCCACCACATCGATGTGCCACTTCACCTCATGACATCACAGACCGAGTCCTCTATTGAAGTCCGAGGACCGTCCTGATAGGCCCTACCTGCTTGGGCTCTGCCTGCCTCTCCCAGCATCCGCAGCCCCCAGCTGGCACCCTCAGGCTGCACCAGCTTTGTTCTGGCCTCTCAGGCCACGCTTTCCTCCATGTGGACCCCTACCCAAGCCACACACATACAGGCTCATCTCCTCAGATGAGACCCCTTTGTCTGGCCTCTGTGGTCATCACGCAGTGACTATGACACTCAGGGATAGGAGACTGCTGAGAAACACAGCAGTGTGCAGGTGGCCCTGGCCTGAGAGGTTTGAGAAGTACCGGGGACTTTGTTGTAGTATTGGGGAAGCCTTCTCCCTGCTCACATGGAGATAATTGGTGTCACGCGGCATTTTGAGAGGATGCTAACACTTGAAGTCACTGCAGTATTGTGGGAAGGAAATGCCCCCTATAAGAGTTCCCTTGAAGTTCACACCCAGGCTGTTGAAAGGCTAGCTGCATATGTAACACATGGGAGGTTCCCTAACCTCCAGGTTGTTCAAGATTGAGCCTGGGCCCAGGGGGTGGGCCTGAGATGCTAGAACTCGAGTCTTTGGGGACTTGTCTGATCAGAGTGGGGAGACTGGCCCCAGCTCAGGGCTAGGATAACACCTTTCACATGGCTTGTTTCCTGCAGGAAGACCTCGAGGCTCTGATAGCCCAGTTCCAGATGCTAGACGCCAGAAAGACTCAGGTGGTAGAGACACTGTGTCCCCCACCTTCTCCCAGGTAAGGCCACCAGTGTCCTCACTCCTGTCTCCCCATGGCACATGGGACATGACATACAGTTACATTTCTCAAGCTGGTCCAGGGGTGTGACAGTCACTAGAGCCTGCAGCCAGCCACTGTGGGAACTTTAAAGATGTCTTCCCAAACACTGGAGGGAGACAGAGGTTCCTGGTTGTGTGGAGTGGATGGGACCTCTGCAGCTGTCGCCTGTCGGGCACACTGCCCACGTCTGACAGCTCCGCTGGTCGCAGCCAGTGGCTTGTCTCTGAGTGTATTTCAGTGCGCATGTGACAGCTTGAAAGGTTAACATCATGATAGCTTTTTGCTCAGAGGGAGGCCACTCTGCATGGGAAGGGTTTTATTCTTGAGGTGTTTTAGAACTTGTCCCAAAGTCAGGTTCCACGTCCAGGTAGAGTGAAGCGTGTGGTTCCCTGAGGCAGCCTGGGGCACATCTGCAGGTGAAGGGTCAGTTGTTGGAGCTGAGAAATGAGGAGAGGAAGGCCTTTGTCTGAGAGCACCGGTCTCCTGGACTTCTTAGTCTTATTATGTGAATATCCTCAATTGTCAGAAAGCCAATTGGTTCTGTAAACTTGAACCAGAATCACAATAAAATTTTAAAAGTAAGAAAATGGCCAATTGTTGTCAAATGTTGGCAAAGCCCTCCCTTCCTGGGGATTGGCAGTTGCAGACCGAGGGTGAAGTAATAATGAGACAGACAGCCAAGAATGAGGTAAGAGAATAAAGTCCTAATGACTGAAGCGCCCAAGCCATGCCTCTCTGTGTATTTATTGAGAAGGTAAACAAAGGATAATCACCAGAGAGGAGAAAACAAAGGATCATGGGGAAGTCTTTTGGAGCTCTTCTCTGTTGTTTACCTTATGCTAATCTCAGGAGGGAGGGATTCAGTAAATACAAACTAAGAAGGGTGTTGACTCTTAAGGAATGCCTCAGGGTGAACTTCAGCTTGTATTACACCTCCCTTGTTTCCTGATATAGCATCTGGCTTATTATTAATACTAAATTTGATATTCAGCTTCCCACAGGCGGGGTGAGAGGCTCTGGGAAGGCTGGCATCTTTATTGAAGACTCCTTGTGTTTAACATGTTTCCGTGCTCAGTGGATTCCCAGGGGGGACATGGATCTTCGCATGTCCCGATTTACTTGATCTAGAAACTGCTTCTTACTTGCAGAAGCATCTGGAAAGCCTTGGGATGGAGCACACCGTGAACGTCATGCTCGGTGACTCTTACAGCACCGTGCTTCTTGGGATGGACCAGAATAGCCACTTCCCTTCCTTTCTGCTGAAATGGTCAAAATGTGGCCCTAGTTTCCGTGTCAACTGCCATCGAGTCCGCTCTGGCCTCCAGCAGCCCTGAAGACAGGGTGGACCTGCCCTGCAGGGCTTCTGAAGGGGTCACCTTTATGTAAGCACATGGCCTCTGGTTTATTTCCCCAAGAGCAGCTGGTGGATTTGAACTGCCAGCCTTTTGGTTAGCCGGCCCAGGTGCACCACGAAGGCTGCCCCTCCCATAGCTGTTCTTTCGTGCTAGTAGAGTGAGCAGGAGAGTCTCGGGGTGGACTGCAGCGTGCCGTCCGCTGGGCTGGTTATCGTCAGACGACGAGGGGTGGGGCTCTGTGCCCCCACTTCTTCCTGCCACGTGGTGGGAACGCCTGTTGACCAGCTCGTGCCCAGCTGGCTGTCCTGGACGTGTGGGCTGGCAGGCACGGCTCTCGGGTGCTTGATCCCTTACTGACTTCCTGCTTCTGTCTCTTGTAGGTTGAACGCGTCGCTCTCCGCTCACCCCGAAAAAGACGAGTTGATCCTTTTCGGAGGTGAATATTTCAATGGCAAAAAAGTAAAGTATTTTTCTTTTACCCCCCAATTTTCGTGGGTCTCATTTGCCATAGAGTCCTTTTAAATCTGTCGTGCACCTCCTCTTGTGTGCCCCACGCCTCGAGTGATCGAGACCAATGGGACTGTCCCCTAGGCTCCCTCAGAGGGGGGCAGTCATGTCCCAGCTCCGGGGGGCTCACCGCTCCTTCGGCCCCTGAGGACACCTGCACCCCATCTCTGATTGTCATGTGTCCCCAGTTTCAGATCAGGTCTCCCGACCCTTTTCTCCCTGTGTCTCCACTGAAGTGCCCACTGTCTATCTGTCCTGCGTCCCTCAGTCTGCCATTGTGGTGGCTTTTCAAAGTTAAAAGTTCGACCTTTTCAGAATTGCCTTGAACACCAGAAGTGTCAAAGGATCCGAGAGCAGAGTGGTCCTGTGGAGACCGGTGTTCTGCAGCGGCTGGTGGCAGAGGCCTCGGGCGTGGGTGGCCCTGTGAAGCCCAGACCCAGCCTCTGCTGGTTCGCACCACCAGCTGCTCCTTGGTAGACAGATGGGCAGCCTTTTGTGATTTACAGCCTCTGAAAACCACTGGAGGGTCAGCTGGGTCAGTTCTGACCCAGTGGCATTGAAGAGGTTTTAGCATTTTTCAGGAAATGTGCTGTCCGTGACAGATCTAACAGAGTGTATTGCTGAGCACTCCGGAGAGTTCGCTTCTGCCTGTGCACAGCAGCTTAGCCTGGCGAGCGAAGCAGGCACTTGATCTCATGGGCCTCACGGCGTCAGCGGGCAGACAGTCTCTCTCCTTGTACCTCCACCGATAGCGTCCCCGAGGGCTGCCCATGCCGCCCTGGGTCGGCAGAACTCATGCTGCCTCTGAGAACACGTGTCCCAGGGTGGTCAGGGCTGGGATTCTCTCACGGGTCAGAAGGCTGACCTTCTCCTTCCTGTCTGCAGACATTTTTGTACAACGAGCTGTACACCTACAACATCAGGAAGGACACGTGGACGAGGGTGGAAATCCCTGGCCCTCCCCCCCGGCGCTGCGCTCACCAGGTGAGTCTCTGGGTGGGCTCCACGCCAGGCCACGCTGCCCGTGCTGCAGCCATGCCATTGAGAGGGAAGTACCCCCACCAGGGCCCATGCCAGGCCACAGGAGCACAGTGTCCACGCCAGGCCACCCTGCCCATGCTGCAGGCTTGCTAGTGAGAGGGAGGTGCCCACGCCAGGCCTTGGGCTCGCCCCAACCTGCTGCTGGTAGCCCTGGCTGCTCCCCTCCTCCTTCACCTGATGGCAGGTGAGGACCTGTGTCTCCAGGTTGGGTGAAGCACGGCGCTGTGGGGTGGGGTGTTGGAGACCGAGTCGGCTGCAGCTCAGTGGCCCTGCGTGTGCTGGGCCCGCTCCGTCACCTTCCTTCCCACCCCGCCATGCGGAAGCCGGCCAGTCAGGCTGTCCTGTTGAGGGTTGTCCTCCTTTTTTCTGACCCTCGCCTTTAACAAGTGCCATCCCCTCCAGGGACTGACCCTCACCTGAAGTGTGTGCACAGAAGTGTCACCTTCATCCACGTAAACCAGCGTGGGCGCTGTGTGCCGAACCTGCTCACTGCTCACCTGGTGCCCCCACAGTGCTAAGTCCAATGTGCAGAAACAGGAGTTCTGTGGGAACCGTGTGGCAAACCACTATCTCCCTTGATGCAGGACACTGAGGCGCCTGGTGGTGCTCTGCTTACGTGCTCAGCCACCAACAGGTTGGTGGTTCAAACCCACCAGGAACTCGGAGAGGAAAGGAAAGCAGTTTGCCTTGGGGAACCACTCAGGGCGATTCTGCGTGGAATCTGTTCATGGCAGTGAGCTTTGGCCCATTTGTTACAATATAACCATAGTAAGATACAGTGTCTTAGATGCCATCAGTATCAGTAATAGTTACTGATTTGATATAATACTGAACTTAGAAGATTGAAGCTTTTGAATTAGAGGAACTTAATTGTTCAAACACATCGCACTTGAACAGAGGGAAAGGTCATTACAAAGTCAAGAGGAAGAAAAGGCCGCATGGATGTCAGAAGGGCTCTGAAAATTGCACCAGAGTGTTGAGAGCCCATAACAAAAGGAAGAGATGGTGAGCAAGAGGGGAACTCACGGAAGACTTTCAGGAGCAGCTCAAGAAGACAGAACTGTGACAGAGAACGTGCAAAGAGCCGGAGTTAGAGAAACAACCGGGAAGGACTCAGCATGCCTCAAGTGAAGACCTCCAGTTGGAATACCGAAAGATGCTCTGGACAAAAATGTGAATGGTCTAGGAAGCTCCAAAGTAAGGGGGGGGATACAGTCACTGTACCAGAAAGAATTAGTCAACACAAAAACATTTCGGGAAGTAGCATATGATCAAGACCCAGTAAGGACGAGAGAAGACGTCTGAGCTGCACTGAAGACATTGGCAAAATACAAGGCTTCAGGAATCAGTGGGCTCGTTTAGACGCGTTTAGTCTCTGATGTGGCCCTAGACATAATTGTGCTGGAGGTTTGGAGGACAGCTACGTGGCCAGCTGGAAGGGATCTCATTCACTCTCATTCCCAAGGAAGGCGACCTAGCATAATGGGGAGAAGATCGAACATACCAGTAACATCACATGCAAGCAAAGTACTGCTGAAGATTGTTAAAAAGGGCTAGAATAGTACAGTGGAGTCCAGGAGCCCTGGAGGCCCAGTGCTGAGGAGTTGAGTTGAGCTGCCAGCCTCCAAGGCCAGAGGTTGGGATCTCACAGCTGCTCCGCGGGGAAGGAGGGCCATTGCCCCCTGCACAGCCTCGAGCCCTGGGAAACCTGCTGCAGGGTGACTCAAGGACGCCGCGAAGACAAAGCTCTGGCTGGTGCCCCTCGGGGAGCCCTCCCTCGGGCCTCCCAGCTGTGTGCCTTTGAGGGAAGGGACCACCCGTCTCTCCCCGAGTGCCTGCTGGGGTTCGCTGGCTAGGGTTCACTGGCCGGGGTTTGCTGGCTGGGGTTTGCCGGCCAGGGTTCACCTGCCGGGGCGTTTGCCAGCTGGGGTTGGTTAGGTGCTGCTCTGCTGGATATCGCCTGGGGAGCCAGGCTCTGTCCACCTCACGTCCACCCCCGTCCTTTCCCCCTGCTTCACTCTGCAAGGTGTCTGCTGCCCTTCAGGTTCTGTGATGTGACCATGAACGTCACCAGGGGCTGCTCTCTCTGGGGGGTTTCCTGAGCTCAGGAAGGTGTGTGGCTTCCTTCTTCTCCTGTGTGTTTCTGGTCCCCCTCATGTCTGGGAACACGTGGGTGGTGCAGCTCTGAAGTCCTCGCCTGTGCCTCTCTTTGCCCCTTGCAGTCAGTGATGGGCGGGCAGAGGGTGGGCGTCCCCTGTGCTGACAGCAGGTGTCTTGTCGGGGTGAGGCAGTGTCCCCTCTCCGCTCCTGATGCGTGGCATCCTGGCAACACCTTGGTTCCCGGCCACAGTGTGTGCTCTGGGAGGACGAGCCCAGCCTGCCTCTCCTCCAGCCTGGGCTCCTCTGCCCAAGTGGCCATTGGCGCTGGGACTTGCTCAGGGCCCGGGCGGTCCGTGCTGTCTTTGATCCTGTCCACCGGGACCTTGTTCCTGGGACACTGCATGAGCCCAGTGTGAACCTGGGTGGTTTGGGGCTTTCTCCTTCCTGTGTGGAGTGATGCCATGTGCGTGTCTGTTGTAGAACAAACTTCACTGTGCAGACACACAGCCGTGCCCTGCTTCATGGCGGCCCTGCGCCCGTGCCGGACCGTGTCTCCCTGGCGCCAACGCATGGCTGTGTGCTGACCATGTCCTCTTTCTCTTCCAGGCCGTGGTGGTGCCTCAGGGCGGTGGGCAGCTGTGGGTATTTGGAGGGGAGTTTGCCTCTCCCAACGGGGAGCAGTTCTACCACTACAAGGACCTCTGGGTGCTGCACTTGGCCACCAAGACCTGGGAACAGATCAGGTAAGAGCCCCCAGCGCTGCTGCGTCCCACACCTGCTCCGTGTCCGGGACTGCGGGGAGTGCAGTGTAGAGGCCACCGCGCCTCCTGGACCCCTTCTCTTGGGGCCTGCCTGTGCTGGCTCTTGGCCAGTTGGTGGCTGCTCTTCCTGTTTATGCTTCAGTTTAGCGGTCTGTGTTGTAGAAGTTGTAAGTTCCCTTCTTGACGGGGATGGTTTTCGTGCTCTATATCTGAATACCGGTCTCACTGAGGTGTGGATACACTGCACAACAGAGCAGATAGGACCGTTCAGAGGACAGTTAGCTGAGTGGTGACGACCACACAGTCCTGTAGCCACAGTCAGATACAGAGCGTCTGCATCAACACGCAGAGTCCTCGTCCAGCCTCTGTCTCAGGCAGCTCCTGTCATTGCCCTGGGAGGAATGTGAGTGTTGAGTGATGAAAGGAGTTGTGTGAAAGCTAATTGACGGACATTTATCCACTTGAAGAGGGAGATGTGTTGGGAACCAGCGGTCCTGAGAGAGGAGGTGAAGGTGCTGGCTGGACACAGTGAGATGTCCTGACAGATGGATGTGCACATGCAGCTGACCTGAGAAATTGGTGCTGGGAGGCTGACCACGGTCAGCGATTTTAATCCACCGTTTGCTCGATAGGAGGAAAACAGGCATTCTCCCCGGCAGGTCTTTACTCTCGCTGCCCAGTGGAGGGCACTGTGAGCCAGCAGCACCTTGACGGCAGTGGCTTTATAAGAAAGGGAGCCGACAAAAAAGTTCTTTTTCTCTTTACATATTTTAAAACTTCTTGTGAAAGCATTTGTATTTGCACTGTATCTTTGGAACTACAGCTTAATTGAATACACAGGCTTCTCTTGGCAAGCGTGGTCATTTTCTCTTCTAGACCCTAACAAGACACTGGCAATGGTTAAACGTGCATTGTTTGTCCTCACCCAAGACACGCACCCCACCCTGTGTGGCCTCCGCTTCCCGCAGCCACGCTTGATTTGGATTCTAGTGTTTGGTCTCAGATCTACTCAGCTGATGAGTCCATCTGTCCCCTTTGCACTGAGAAGTCACTCCCTGCAGTCCACCTCACCCAGACAGTTCTGGGGCTCAGCGACCCCAGAGGCCAGTGTCGAGGTGCTGTAGGGTTCCCAATACCTCAGGGGCCTCCATGCGCAGACAGCCCACCTATCTATCTCTCTTACATGCGCTCTGTGTGTGTGTGAGAGAGCACGCGAACGAGAGCGTGTGAACAAGCAACCAGGTGACTCGTTAATAGCTGGTGCTTTAAGACCTGAGTCACCAGGGCTCCTCTCTAGCTGTTCCAGACCCCAGCGTCCCTGCTGTTGTGCTGGCTCTGACTCTGTGACCCCATGGGACAGCAGTGACCTGCCCTGCAGGGCCCCAAGGCCATCTTGAGGGAGGGTGCAGCACGGCAGGGCAGGAGGAGGCGAGTGCATCGAGCAGGCGGCCTGAGCTTTTCCAGGAGGAGGGCTGTGACACTGGGGAGCAGGGTGTCAGGACCCCGAGGGTTGGATAGCAGAGGATGCAGACAGGGTGGTCCTCTGATGGGACACCCTGCACAGCGTGGACATGGGGACGCGTGTGTGGAGAGGGAATTATTTTTTTGGAGGGGCTTTCAAAAGGTTTTAATATAGATTAATAACAGAATATGGTCAAGACAGCTCTCAAAATGTGCATGCAGCCACCTCGGCCTCAAGCCGCATGGCTCCAGAACAGTTCTCTGTCCTGCCAGAATTGGCTTCCCCTCCCCCAGTTGTCCAGCAAAGGTCTCAGTCCTGCCACTGTTGGCTCCCCCCACACCCCAGGGTTTCATCTCATGTCAAGTCTCCATCTGGGTCGTTGCTGCTCTTCTCCTGGTGGTGAGGCCTGTTGGTCGTGGCGGGAAGTGTCTTTCCTCTTCACTGCCTGGGGGAAGAATCTTGGAGAGGGTGTTCTGTGCGTGGCCCAGTGAGCCGGCAGTCACTCGCCAGGCCGTGTCCCCACTCCTCAGTGAAACTGTCCCGGGGGCCCGGCAGCACGCTGTGTGGTCATCTTCCTGCTCGTTTGACTCTGGCCATTTACTGCTCGGCTGTGCGGACGGTGGATGTGACCATGCAGGTCTGGTGCGGTCAGGCGTGTTGTTTCTGCAGGGTGCACGTGTGTGTGGGAGGGGAGCCTGCAGCATAGCGGGCCTCAGTGTCCATTAAAGTGACCAGAAAGGAGGGTTACAGCTGCTTTTCCCGATCCTGTCTGCTTCAGGTCCACAGGGGGCCCCTCGGGTCGGAGTGGACACCGCATGGTCGCCTGGAAGCGACTGCTGGTTGTCTTTGGCGGCTTCCATGAAAGTACAAGGTGGGTGCTGTGCGTGTGGTGGGGGGAGGCCTGGGGTGGGTGCTGTGCGTGTGGTGGGGGGAGGCCTGGGGTGGGTGCTGTGGGCAGGGGGCAGATGGGGTCAGAAGGGATCCCGGCACCGTCCTCTAAGCTGGGCGTAGTGACACATGTGCTGTCACTTCCACAGTGCTTGGTCCTTACTGTGTGACCTTGTATTGGGCTCATCAGGTTATCAGCCAGTTGCCTCTCAGACTTGGGTCCCCAGTGGGGCTCCCTCTCTCCTGGGCATTGGTAATGGTTACTTTTCAGGTGGGCACTGCTGTCTGGGGGTTGGGATGTGTCCATGGTCACCCCAGCCTCTTAGGCTTGTCTGCACAGACCTGGAGTGGGGTTAACCGTGCGTGGTGCATTGCCAGGGAGTTAACCATCCCTGGTGCAGGGCCGGGGACCACTTCTTGTTTCCAGGTTAACCTCTTTAATGCAGCTGTCAGGGGAACTGCATCCTGGTCAGACTCCCCTCATACAGTGTGTCTCCTTGTCATGACCAGAGACTACATTTATTACAACGATGTGCACATCTTTAACCTGGACACCTTCACGTGGACCAAGCTGTCGCCCTCGGGGATGGGCCCCAGCCCCAGGTCAGGCTGCCTGATGTCGGTCAGCACCCAGGGTGGCATCGTCATCTACGGAGGCTACTCGAAGCAGGTGGGTGTGGACATGCGTTGTCCTTCCCTGTAGCAGAAAGCAGCAGGACTACTTGGTCACATGTCTGACACGCTCTCTTCTCTCCTCAGAGGGTCAAGAAGGACGTGGACAGGGGCACTCTGCACTCGGACATGTTTCTGCTGAAGCCCGAGGACGGGAAGGAAGGTACGGTACTGCAGGGACAGCGTCCTGGGTCTGCGCTGGCGGGGCCTCTGTGCTGTGGGTCAGCCCTCCGTCCTGCTCCCGGGGCTGCTGCGGCAGGCCCTGGCCCCCGAGATGCCCAGAGGGATATGCTGTGTGCCCCCAAGGACTGTGTCCCAGGCCCCAGAGGTGTGTGGACACTTCACTGAGTGGCCGCCCGTCCAGACTCTTGACAGAGTTGTACTGGCTGGCCAGGATGGCCTCCTCCGCCCACGCAGTGTCAGGCGTGCTGTTCTATCTTGAGGTGCTCAGGCGACCCCTTGATTTCTGGCATCCCTTTTTAGTGCTCTGCCAGAGGGTGTTTGCTGCAGAAGGCTCAACCCCAAGCTCTCCTGTCTTCTGTGGGAGGCGCCCTGCTGGTCTCAAGACAGCTCTCTCTGGGGGTGGACATGGCTGTGCAGTCCAGGCTGATTGCTAAGTGATGTAGCCTCTGAGAGCACGTCAGCAGGGACAGTGCATCCACAGCTTTCTGGGGACTGCATTCCTGCTGGCCACTAACAGACCACCTTCAGTCTCTTGGTGACAGCTGCTGCTGTGGACAGACAGGCAGGAGGCTAGGGACTCTGCACATAGCTGTGGATTGATTTCATGTCTGCTCCTTGCTTGGTACCCCCCCATCCTGTTTGCTCTGGTCCCCAGGTGCTCACTTGTCCTGTGTTCTTCCTGTGTTCTTGTACTCACCTGCATCAGGTGCTGACACCTGACTCCCCTGTCACCTGCATCAGGTCAGGTCCCCAGGGGCTCACCATTCTGTGTCTGACAGGCAGGTGGACCTGGACGAAGATTCACTCCTCAGGCGTCAAGCCCACCCCGAGATCTGGCTTCTCAGTGGCCATGGCCCCGAATCAGCACATGCTGCTGTTCGGGGGGGTATGTGACGAGGAGGAGGAGGAGAGCCTGGAGGGCGAGTTCTTCAGTGACCTGTACTTGTACGACTCAGCCAAGAACCGCTGGTTTGCAGGGCAGCTCAAGGTAATGTGTGCCCAAGAGGGCTGCCACTTCATCCCGGGTGAGGTGGTCAGGCTCTGGCCTGTGGGCAGTGCTGAGCAATGGTCTTGTCTTGGCATGGTCACAGCCTGCGTGACTAGGAGCTCCCCTCTTCCAGACAATAGTGGACAGCTGGGGTAACCTCCGGGCACCCCTGGGCCACACACCGGGCTGCTTCCTCCCGCCTCTTTGGAAGGACCTCTCACTGGGGCCCTCAGTCCTATTCGGGGTGGGTGGTGGCTGGCCCTCACCCCTCCATTGGGCACACTCATGACTCCCTGTGCTGTCCTTGTCCCCAGGAGCCCAAGGCGGATAAGAGGAAGCGACGAAGGCGTGGCAGGAGGGAGGAGTCCCCGGGCGAGGAAGACACCCCAGGAAAGGAGCCTGGCCCCCCAGAGCCCCGGGAGGTGGTCCGTCAGGTGACCACGGAGGATGGCACAGTTGTCACCATCAGACAGATGCTCCCTGCTGTGGGCGGGGTGGGCAGACCGGCGTGCGCAGACAAGGATGTGGACGTGGAAGAGGACGGGCCTCCCGTGGTCGCCCCGTGTCCTCGCTGCAGCGCCATGCTGGCCGTGAAGCATGGGCAGCTGTACGTCTACGGGGGCATGTTCGAGGCGGGAGACCGGCAGTTCACCCTCAGCGACCTCTACCGCCTGGACCTGCAGAAGATGGATGGCTGGCAAGCCCTGGTGGAGATGGACCCGAGTGAGTGTGTGGCCATCCCTCCATCAGCTAGTCTCCTCTGAGGGAGTTGAGGCGCACTAGCCCTCAGCCCACCTGTGGGGGCCTCAGGTGTGGGTGTACCACCAGGTGAGCCTTGTGGGTAGGCTCTGGAGCAGCACGCTGAGAGCCACCCCCACGGGCCTCGAGGTCTGGCTTTATCTGTTTTCTGAACTGACGCCTTCATCTGCCCCTAACGCTGGTGTTCATGAGCACTTTGTGAACACTCCAGCTGCTGCTGGGCCTGAGCACAGCCTCATTCCCTCGACTCCGAGGCTCCGACCCTCTGTGTGAGGACCTGCCCTGTCCCTGGCCTCAGGGCAAGGGGCCTTGGCCGGACCAGGACCATCAGCAGGGGCTCTCGTTGGGCCTTCACCCCCTCATGTCCTGAGGTGCCACATGGCCGGGGTGCTGTTTTAGGGAGAGGAGGTGCCTTCAGGAGAGTCTCCCCTGTCCAGACGGGCACTGACCGCCTCTGTGCTTTTGCTCTGCAGGGGCTCAGGAGTGGCTGGAGGAGAGCGACTCAGAGGAGGATGAAGAGGAAGAGGAGGGCACGGAACAGGAGAGCAGTGAGGAGGACGCAGGTAACTTAGGGGGAGGAGGACCTGAGTCATGTAGGAGGGCAAAGAGGGCACAGGTAACACAGCAGGA